GCAGCCGCCATGAGACCCAGAGTCTGCATGACAGTTAAAGCTGTCACTGTTGCCCCCTGTCGCAGCCTGTACACCGCCCTGAGAAGGGACGTACGCCTGCTTTATGACAGGGTGGCACGTAGCGCGTCTGCATCGAGCACCACTCCCAAATACAACGCCTGTTGGTGAGGTATGGGGGTGCTCTTTCCCCAATTGATCGCAAAGCCTAATTTGGTTAGGTGTGTGATCAATTGTGCTGTGCAAAACATTGCCTGTTCCCGGGACCCAGCCATGACTATGAGGTCGTCTATGTAAAAGAAAACTCTCATGCCCTGGGCGCGCAGCGGTTGAAGCGCTGTGGCCACACATTTGCTGAATGTGCGTGGGGATAGGGAATAGCCGAACGGGAGTCTGTTGTACTCGTAGGCTATCCCTTGAAAGGCAAAACGCAGATACTTCCTGTGCTCTGGCACAATCTCCACATGAAAGTATGCGTCTTTCAGGTCGATGGTGGTGAACCAATCGCCCGGCTGCACTAGCCCCATTAACTGTTTGATAGTTAACATGCGAAATTTCCTGCGGCAAATGTGAAGATTCAGGCTGCGCAAATCTAGAATAGGTCTGAATTCCCCTGTCTTCTTGAAAACCAGGAAGTACATGGAATAAAAACCCCTTTCCTTTTGCTGAGGATGCACCACAGACACTGCCTGTTTCTGCACCAAAGCCTGAATCTCTGTTGAGAGGAAACCCATCTCCTCCTGGGATGACAGAATTACCTCTCGCATGCCTCTGAATGGAGGTGGGACGCTGCAAAACTGGAGTGAATAACCCCGTTTCAGCGTCCTGTCCATCCACTCTGACAGTACACAGCTGAGTTTCCATTCCCCATAATATTGAGTTAATGGACAAGCCCTTAGCTGTGGGGCCGCAGCTATAAAGCTGTGATACTCTCTGGTGACCCGTTCCGCCGCAAAATCCCCCGTGAAAGGAAGATTTGCCCATGGAGGGTCGACACAGAAAGGGACGATTTTTTATTGAGGTCCCTGAACACACCGTCGCGCGCTCTTGTGTGAGCGCGCGCTCCACCCTAACGCTGTTCTCATTACCATGGTAACCAGCATTAACCGGAGTTTTTGTTGACGTAATGTGTTCACCTGAGGTCCCTGAACACACCATGGGCTCCTGAGAGAGCGCGAGCTCCGCCATAATGCAGCTCTTACCACTACGGTAAACTGTATTAATTGGAGCCTTTATTCTAGGCGTAGTGTGTTCCCTAACCATAATGCGCCGACTAGCAAGCCCCTGCACCCGCATAGCGCTACTATAGCACTTCCTGCGGTTTATCTCTCTCATCTGCGCATGCCCACTAGCTATCTCCTTTACAGGAGAAATAACCGGGGTAGCGAGTGGGGAATATGTACAGTCAACAATGTGTGTGAGTGCAGGATTGTGAAAACAAATGACACTCAGACTTGGATACAGATCACCTTTTTCTTTATTAGTTTTCCTAATAAAAGGGACCTGGGCATTGAACAGGGAGGAGGTGGGATTCACCCTAGCGTCCTGGGTGGAGAGACCCGTTGAGACGCTTCCTCCCTCCGCCAGTCAGCTGCGTTTTGGCGGAGCTCCCCACCCGGCGGTTCTCTGCTGCTGCTGAGACTGCCGTGGCCGGGCAGCCCGCCCCCGTGAGTGCCGGTACGCTGGCTCCACGGGGTTGGTTGAAGAAGCGGAGGGTGCTACCGGCACGGGACCTTCGTACCGGCGTCTCTCCCTCCGTCTCACCGTTGCACTGCGCTCCGCCGCCCGCGGAGGACGCTGTGACACCTGGGGAGAAGCTAGCGGCAACATGCGGCTAAGCTGCAGCCTCTCTTCCTCCAGACGGCTGAAACGCTGGGTGACCGAGGCTATAGACCCAAAGAGCCCTTCCGTGGAAACGGGGGCTCCAAGGAGATCTGCTCGGTCCTTTTTGGGCAGCGTGGTGAGTCCCAGCCACACATGACGAGACACCACTGTGGCTAAGGACATCACCCGCCCGGCTGCGGTGGCCACTCCATGGATCAGATTATTCATCTGACCTATGCAGCGGTCCGGATAATCATCCCCGTCCTGAGACGGGAGAGCGGGGGCGTCTGCTCGAGGAGTAATCAAGGAGACGCCCAACACACCCAGATTATTAGCCGCAGCCGCCATCTGTGAACCGAGCCTGAACATTTTATCCAAATATTCCAAGGCTTCCCGGTCCCGCGGCAGCGGGGGCAGAGGTTTCTTCCCCTCCGCCCAACCAGCTGATCGTGGCAACAGATGGGCCACCAGGCTCTCGTCGAGGGGGGGCACGCCAGAATACACCGTGTCTGATCGGCCCTGCACCCTGATAATGCCCGACATGGATGCTATGGCGGCCTTCGTCCTCAATGGACGCCGCCATGTCGCCTCCACACACTGCCAGATGTCTGGCAACGGGGGCGAGACGAAAGCCGGCTGTGCCGGAAGCACCAGGCCGTAAAACCCCTGCCTAAGGCGGCTTACAGGCCTCGGTGGCAGCGGTGGGGGGAGCGGTAAGCCTACACGCTCCGCTGCCTGGGTCATCACCGCTGGGAAGTCCAGTCGCGCAGACCTGAGTGCTGGGCCCTCCTGGCTGTCGGACCCGGGGGTGTCGGACAAGGAGATGTCGTCATCCTCCTCCGCGAAGTCGACCACTCGGTCCCTCGGAAGGACGAATTCAAACGGCACGTCCTCCAGGTCGTCCATGTCCACCACCTCGAGGTCCACATCCTCTTCCTCTCCGCGCACCTGCGGGCCGAACTTCCTCGAGAAGTGCTCCGCACGATGCCGGCGGTTTAGCATCAGGATCGAGCAGCAGGAAACACAGGCCGGTGTCTGGCCCGCTCCCTGCTCAGCATGATCCTGTCCCAGGCACTGGAAACACTGACGATGCGGGTCTGCTCCCGCAATCAGTCCAGGGCACGACAGGCAACTACGATGCTCCAGGAGTGGCTCCATTTTCACAATATCTCTCTCTTTCTCTACTTCCTTTCTCCCACTTGTACGTCTCGGACTCAGTGCTAGGTTACCACCTCCGCTCGCTGAAGAGTAAAGGATGGTGGTCAGGAGGCGAGGCCTCCTTTTATAGGGAAGTGAGATGCGCACGCATTCAGGTAGGCCCGCCCCGGGGCCGGCTACGTCTATAGAAATCTCAGTAGGTGAATGCTTGCATGATAAGGTAGTACCCATAGAGTCCAGTAGAGGGCGGAGCCTGTGAGAGATATAACTTATTTATATTGAGTTTGATTACTCTGAATCAAAAGTAACCCTTGAAATGTGTTTAAACAGAAACCTGTGTTACAGTGGAAAGCCTATATCCTATACAGCCTAATACAAAGGCCAATACTATAGGTATACAGGTATTTGTATACAATGCTGCTTACATGGTTGTTAGAAAAATTAAAATGTATAATACACAATATTCAGACACAAAATATACACAGCTTATATTATAAGATTTGCTGCATTGCCAATACATTCTTTTCTAAAGCTGTCTGCTATTTTTCCATGTGCTAACTTCCAATATTTTCGTGGGAAGTATCAGAATAACATTTCTTGAAAAGAGAGGTTTCACTTAATGGTGATAGTTTTCTTTGTGATGCAGTTGATGAAAGTATAATCTTAAATAAGAAGCCTCGTTTATATAAAAATATTCTCGAAAATATGTTATGATCATTAGACATGATTTTACTGTTTAGATGCCAAAACAAAGCTACAAAGGCTACCTGGAGCCTTGCAACAGCTTTAAAATACCTAGAACCACACATAGAACTAATATTCAAGAGGCAGTAATTGAGGTATCCCTGGAATATGTATGGCATGATTATAAAAAGGCTAACATTTTAAATTGTGTTGTTTCTTATTTACCCGTTTAGACCCAATGACAGCAGTGTTTTTATTGTCCTCAAATAATCGAAACGTAATGCTATTACAATATGTATGATTCATTATCGAATATTAGAGTTAATAATCATGTTGTTTTGACGGCAGAGCCTGCAACACTCTGATGATACACAGAGACTTAATCAGAATAGTTTTGAAAACATTTCTCCCAGCAAAGTGATCAGAGGCTGAAAACGCTCTCTGAATTATGGATTTCATTTACCGGTCCTTATAACAGTCACTACTAGTTATTTATAAATGTTTACATGGACTGCCCCCCCTCCCCCCTTAGGGGAATTCATCCACAAAAAACTTTAAAGAGACTAAACACATCATTTGACCTTTTGAAATCTTGGGCTGCTGAAGTACCTATTGTTAATACCGCTGAAAATGCACTTATATAGTGTTCAAAAACTTTTCATACCTAGGTTATGGCTATTGACAAATGAACTTCTACTTCTCTGAGCTGTTGAACAAATATCAGTCTTTCTTCAGCAAATGGTGCTTGTTTATTTAGTTGCACATGTGGACCTTAGGTCAAATTATAGATTATTTTATATTGGGGGTGGTATTGTTGGTACTGACTGGATATTTTTGACAGACCGGTTAGTTTTAGACCTTATAAAAGAGTTGCTCTGATGTCCTTAGAGAAAAAAAGTCAGCCCCCGAAAAATGTATTTAAGTGAAATGCTAAGATCCTTAACCACCCTTATCATAACTACCAAATACCAATATTCATTCATTATCAGAATTTTAACTCTTTAAATGTTTGTTTACGTAATGCCATTGCTTGTGGGGTGTTTTTTCTTTATGGAATAGATCAATGATTCTCAAAAACAGGATGCATTTGTATTTGTAAAGACACCAGTAAAACTGCATTTATTAGAGCAAACATGAAAAATAGCTATATATGGTCGAAAATAGTAAAAAGCTACATTTTGAAGTCAATGTCATAATTATTTTATGCTGCAAGATAGAGAGGAGGAGGAGGAGGAGAGGAGGAGGATGAGGAGGAGGAGAGGGGAGGAGGAGCAGGAGGAGAGGAGGAGAGGAGAGGAGAGGAGGAGGAGGAGAGGAGGAGGAACAGGTTGACGCTGCTTGTTCTAAATCTTTATTGAACGTATCGATCACTACAGTCTTCAGGATCAGCTTTAATACGTTGCTTCAAGAAAACTTTATTACAGACACAATCAGTGAGACACACGGTAACCAATGAGAAGCCTCCATTTAAAACACCAACATGTGACCCAGGACAGGAAGTGGACTCCTCCTACAGAGGACACAGAGGACACAGAGACACTGAGGAGTCAGGCCAGACCCCAAACCCAGCGTAGAGAGGTTCAGTGAATGTGGCTCTGAAGGTGTGGAGGAGGATCAGTGAGGAGGAGACTCTGTAGAAGGAGAGAGAGCCAGCAGCATGATCCAGATACACTGCTACTCTACGAGAGGAGAAGGAGGAGGAGGAGGAGGAGGAGGACGAGGAGGAGGAGGAGGAGGAGGAGGAGATGTGTGTTTTTCTCTTATTGTGCCAGACAGTGTAACCTCCATCAGAGCACTGCAGACTCCAGGACTGATCATTCCATCCAAACGCACATTCCTCTCCCTCTCCTTTCTTCCAGATTCCTCTGTAAGTCACTGATATCTCAACCTCTCCTCTCCTCTCGACCTCCCAGTAACAGCGACCAGTCAGAGCTTCTCTGCACATCAGCTGAGCCCAGCCATCAAACCTCTCTGGATGATCAGGATATGGCTGCCTCTCCTCCACATATGTCACCTTCCTGTTGTCCTCAGACAGTTTGAGGAACCTGTATGCTGTGTTTGAGTCCAGGGTGAGTTCACAGGAATCTGAGGAGAGACACAGACAGCAGTTTATCACCAGACTCACCTGAAGGCTTTCCTCTCTGTCAGTGATCTTTCTATAAAGCTTCAAGAGGTCATGTTCTAATGAATAAATAGCACCTCCATCATCTGTGTCTCTAGAGAGAAGCTGACTGATCCACACTTACACTTCCTCAGACCTGCTCTCAACCACTGCTCTCCACCATGGTCCAGCCTGGAGGAAGAAACACATGTGAGAAACAGAACAGCGTATTGTTAGAATAAAGTATTTATCAATGTTCATCATAATAATAATAAATCCTATGTGTCCGAAGGGAGCAGGAGGGAGCAGATGCTTATTGATCCCCCTTACTTCCTGCTGATCAATGATTATCCTTTCAATCATCTCTGAAAGTTATTCCTACTTACATATTTACATTTATACATTTACAATAATTTCTCCTCTTCAATCTCCTTTCTTCATTCTCATACTTTCCCAAAGAAGTGTTTCTGTGCATCCTTCAAAGTGAATGCTATGTGTGCTTTGTTTGAACTCCTGCTCCAAGCCGCTCCATGAAACCCCCCCCCCCACAGATTGTTCTGCTCTTCTCAGAGTTCTTCTGACCTTGAGTTGTTTCAGATGTAGATCTCCTCTCAGATGATACCCCCCCTCTCTGTCTATGAACAACGTCTGTAGTGTCCTAGGAAGTAGATTATCTCTTGCTCTGTACATGATGCAGTTTGAAATGTAACCAGATCAGTAAACTTCAGTGTGTGTGACTTCAAGAATAATGAATGAGTGAGTTCAAGATATCCAACATTATTGATTACTCTTATAGCCCTTTTTTGTAATGTGCATAACGGCTGCAGGTTGGTTTTGTGTTTCCCCAGATCTCCACACAGTAACACAGACATGGAGATATGAGTGTATCACACAGAGTATATCATGATGTGATATGAGTGTATCCCACAGAGTATATCATGATGTGATATGAGTGTATCACACAGAGTATATCATGATGTGATATGAGTGTATCGCAGAGTATATCATGATGTGATATGAGTGTATCACACAGAGTATATCATGATGTGATATGAGTGTATCACACAGAGTATATCATGATGTGATATGAGTGTATCACAGAGTATATCATGATGTGATATGAGTGTATCGCAGAGTATATCATGATGTGATATGAGTGTATCACACAGAGTATATCATGTGTACTCCAGAATGTCTTGCTTTCCCCAATAGTGCGATAGTCTCAGCCAGTTTAGCTTTGACATGATGGATATGAGGTTTCCAGCAGATGTTGTGCTCTAACACCAAGGAACTTGTTTACATATACTCTTTCTATGTTTATGTTGTCTAGGATTAACCTGAGGATTTGTTTGATGTTTTCCAAAGAGCATAATCTTTGTTCTGCTTATATTTAATGATCATTTGTTCTCATCAAACCAATGTTTAACTTGAATCATGTCTGCTGTTATTGCCTCCATTAGCTGTTTCAAACTGTCACTAGAACAAAACATATTAGTATCATCTGCAAATACAATACATGTCAATATATTTGATACTCTGCAGATATGGTTGATGTATATGATGAACAGCTTTGGACCCAACACAGACCCCTGAGGTACTCCACAAGTTATGTTCAAGTCTTCTGATTTATGTTCACCTATTTAACAAAGTGTTGTCTGTGGCTTCAATAATCTCTCAGCCAGTCTACTCCCACCCTCTGATGCCATACCTTTCCAGTGTTGTCATTAACATGTTGGGATCTATGGTGTCACATGCTTTCTGTAGCTCTATCAATATTCCCACTGCTTGTTTTTTATTGTCCAAGCAGTTTGCTATTTCCTCACTTAATCCCATTAGTGCCGTACATGTTGATCTGTCTTTCCTGAATCCATATCGACTGTCGTCCAACAGCTGATGTGTTTCCATGAACCTGTCAAGTCTTTTTGTAAAACCCTTTTCAAGGATGAAAGTGGGAGAGCAAAGAAACATGTGATGTGTGTCACGGTGTCTTTTTTCGACTGCTCTGAGGAACAAAGAGCTATTGTTTTCATTCCAGAGGTCTGTATCTTCCCCTTTAGTTGTTTCTACGCTTTTCATTCTTTCTGCAGATCTGGCCCCACATTTACAAAGAGTTGGTTCAAACCATGAACCACATCTTCTGTGTTATTGATAACATTATCTTTGTCAACAAGAAACTCAGGGTAACCTGTACTCTTTGCTCCATTTCTAACGATACTATTTAATACCTTCCATAAACCTTTCATTCTGAGTACTGTCTAGTATTTTATTATAGTATTCTTTCTTACATATTCTCATAATATTGGTTCATTTATTCTTATATCTTTTATATTTATTTTCTGCTTCTGAACTTCTATATTTGATGAGTTGTCTATAAAGTGTATTTTTCCTTTTGCAGGCATTGTTTAGGCCATCAGTGATCCATGCACGGTGACTTTGTTTGTGTCTCTCTGCATTGTTTAGGCCATCAGTGATCCATGCACGGTGACTTTGTTTGTGTCTCTCTCTGCATTGTTTAGGCCATCAGTGATCCATGCACTGTGACTTTGTTTGTGTCTCTCTGCATTGTTTAGGCCATCAGTGATCCATGCACGGTGACTTTGTTTGTGTCTCTCTCTGCATTGTTTAGGCCATCAGTGATCCATGCACAGTGACTTTGTTTGTGTCTCTCTGCATTGTTTAGGCCATCAGTGATCCATGCACGGTGACTTTGTTTGTGTCTCTCTGCATTGTTTAGGCCATCAGTGATCCATGCACGGTGACTTTGTTTGTGTCTCTCTCTGCATTGTTTAAGCCATCAGTGATCCATGCACAGTGACTTTGTTTGTGTCTCTCTCTGCATTGTTTAGGCCATCAGTGATCCATGCACGGTGACTTTGTTTGTGTCTCTCTGCATTGTTTAGGTCATCAGTGATCCATGCACGGTGACTTTGTTTGTGTCTCTCTGCATTGTTTAGGTCATCAGTGATCCATGCACTGTGACTTTGTTTGTGTCTCTCTGCATTGTTGAGGCCATCAGTGATCCATGCACTGTGACTTTGTTTGTGTCTCTCTCTGCATTGTTTAGGCCATCAGTGATCCATGCACGGTGACTTTGTTTGTCTCTCTCTGCATTGTTTCACAGGACACTTTTTGTCACAAAGTGATTTCAAAATGTTTAGAAATTCCTCATAGGCCTTGTCCATATCGTCTCTCTCATATACTACCCTCCAATTGTGATTAAAGTATTCTTTAATGCATTTATGTTTTCTTCAGTTCTCAATCTTTTGTATTTGAAATGGCTGGAGACTTTAGGTTTCTTATAACTGCAGTGATAGACAATAAGAACAGATAAATGATCACTGATGTCACTATATAGTAGTCCCTACTGTATTGTTCTCCATAATGTTTGTGAATATGTTGTCTATTCATGTAGCAGAGAAGTGATTCTACTAGGTCTGGTGATTTTAGGATACAAACCCATACTGTACAATTCATTGATGAAGTCTTCTTAAGTCTTTAACCCTAACCCCTAAGATAAACATCATGTTTTGTAATGATTTAGTAAACATGTTTCTATCCTATCTGTAAATGTGTCAATACAGGTTCCAGGATCTCTGTATATACAGCTCACAATAACATGTTTAGACCTTTCCATGCACATTTCTACTGTAACACATTCAAACAAATCATCAACTGCTGTTGTTATGCTCTCCACCACATTCTAGTTCATTCCTTTATCCACATAGATTGCCACACCCCCTCCACTCTTATTCCTTCTGTTTGTATAATTCAGTTCATAGCCATCCATCTCAAAGTCCACACCTTTCTCAGCACTGATCCAGGTCTCTGATATTGCTATAATGTTGAATGGGTTCTTAAACTGACTTAGATATTCTTTAATGTTGAGGAAGGCATCTAGGCTTCTGCAATTGAAGTGGATCATTGATATGTTCTCTTATGATTGACACGTTATATTGAATTGCTCTTCTGTGAAATAGTTGCAGCTGTTGTTGATATTGTTCAGTAAGTTGTTTTCCGGATCAATGTCATTTTCCATGTCCTGTGTGTTATGCTCTGTATATGCAAACGTTTATAGTCTTGATAGAGAGATGTGTTTATTATCTGGAATGGTCATGGTAGTGTTTTATTTCTGTGACCTTGTCTGATTTGTTTCATTGATATGTTTCCAGTTCCTCCAGGTCCCTGATGATGAACACTTTGTTCTGGGGATCCGTGAAGCTTGATGGAGATGTTGCACTTTGCAGTCCATGTTGATGTATTTTTCGCTGTTTTCTCAGGAATCGGGCCTTTCTGGCGATCTCAGCATTTCTTTTAGTGAGGTGTTCATTCATATATACATCCGAGCCCTTAAGCCGTCTTCCCTGTTTCAGAAGTTCAGTTTTCTGTTTTCTGTTGGCAAACCTTATTATTATTGCCGGTTTATCTGTTTTATTTCTGTGTGGTAGCGGGTGACAGGCCTCGATGTTGTCGCTGTCAATCTCTATTCCCTTGGAGTTGAGGAAGGCCTTCACCTGTAGCTCCACAGATGCAGCATCCTCCTCACTTGTGTCCCCTCCGGTCATCCTCATCGCCGCCTGGGCGTATGAGCAGGGTTTCGTCTCCAGTCCAGTGATTATGATGTTGTGGATTCGGGTGTATTGCTCCAGCTCATCCACCCGATTTTCCAGCAAGAATATCCTTTTTTCCTTTTTGGAGTTTTGTAGCCTCAGGGCTTTAACTTCCTCCACCAGGCTCATAATGTTATCTGTTGCTGTCTTACAACAGATACCTCCTCCGTCAACATGTCTAACGATCGTTTAATGTCGTCAACCTCCTCAGCATGCGGAGGAATCTTTTTTGGTGGCATTGCGTTTTGTTTAGGATTATTATATAACGGAGAGAAAGAGGAAATGAGTGTTTCCGTCTCTCTGCGGAAACACTCATTTCACTTGTTGTGAGACAGACTACTTTCACTTCCAGGTCTGTGTTAAGAACAAAGCTCAAAGCTCATAATGTGCAGAAAACCAAAACTGTGGTCCAAACAGTAGCAATCCTTGTTGTATGTGCTTTCCTGCTAAACACCAAAGAAGCACATGCATTCCTCCTGACCAAGACAACGTGCACATATGAAGCTGATTCAACAAAATCCCTTCTTTGCCACTTCCTCGGCTAGCTTGAGCCCTCAGTTTACCGGGTCACTCATTAAAGCACTTCATGACTGACAACGTGGCGAATATAATGTAGTCAAACTCATCAATTTTTACAGATTCGCAGATTTTGATGCTTTGCGTCCGAGTCAGCTGGGATAGATCGCCGAGATGCCGACTGGCAGAGACACTGGCTGCCGAAAACAAACAAAACCGAACCAACCTCCCCAAGTTTAACGAAACAAAAAACAGACAAACAAACAACTAAGTGAAACAATTAATAAGCACAAAAATAACCTACGTCAAATGAACGCATATTAAAGAGTCCGGATCGTCCCTCTGGGAATCTAAAATGTCAAACAGAATCTCATCTCAACATATTTAGCAGTTGGTGAGATATCTCAGTCAGAACCAAATTCATAAACTGACCATCATTATCCTCCTTAGAGCCAGGAAACCAGTGGTTCTGATGTTTGGACTGAATGGCTGTTTCCATGTAATAAGACTTGAAGGTTAACTCACTGCAGTGAACATAATCAAGGGAAATGAGACGTCTTTCATGATGGAAGACCAGAGATGAAGGAGATGAAATTAGAAAAATAGGAGGAAGTCAGTCTGTCCATACCTGAGAGTGTCCAGTCTCCAGAGTGGATCCTCCCGTCCAGCAGACAGCAGCTTCTCTCCTGAGTCTCCTGGATGATTGTAGCTCAGGTCCAGCTCTCTCAGATGGGAGGGGTTGGAGCTCAGAGCTGAAGCCAGAGAAACACAGCCTTCCTCTGTGACCAGACAGCCGGACAGACTGGAATCAGGGAATACAGTAAACTCAGTGTTCTTAAAAGTCACGTCAGCAGGAACATCATACAGAGGTGGACCATCTTCATCAACATGAACAAAAAGCTGGATGAAAATAATTGAACTGCTTGAAAATAAAAAGCTGAACTCTGACCTGAGAGTCTCCAGTTCACAGTGTGGACTCTCCAGTCCATCAGACAGCAGCTTCACTCCTGAATCCTTCAGGTCGTTGTTACTCAGGTCCAAATCTCTCAGACTAGAGGACTGGGAGCTGAGGACTGAGGACAGAGCTTCACAGCTTCTCTCCGACAGGTTACAGCCAGTTAACCTTGAAAGAAATTAATAAATATGACAACATTCCTTTAATATTAAATGTGATTGAGCGTAAGGTTTCAACATACAATCTTTTCTAGTTCCTTTGTCAAATGATACCATCTGTTTGTCTGTGCATGTTTGTGTTTGTCAATCAGTCAGATACATTGAGATGTAGATAAGTGACGCCATCTGTCTTCAAATATAATCAGATTGTTATCATGGTTTTGTGGTTTATTGTTTTGAAGAAGAAAAATAAACAAAAAACCGAAGGAGAATCGAAATGTATTATTATTCTAATTTGATAAAACTGGAAATTAGTCGATAGAAATGGCTGAACAAAACCACTGACAGTTAACATATCAGCTGAACTCTGACCTGAGAGTCTTCAGTTCACAGTGTGGACTCTCCAGTCCATCAGATACCAGCTTCACTCCTGAATCCTTCAGGTCGTTGTTACTCAGGTCCAGCTCTCTCAGACTAGAGGACTGGGAGCTGAGGACTGAGGACAGAGCTTCACAGCTTCTCTCTGACAGGTTGCAGCCAGTTAACCTTGAAAGAAATTAATACATGACAACATTCCTTTAATATTAAATGTGATTGAGCGCAAAGTTTCAACATACAATCTTTTCTAGTTCTTTTGTCAAATGATACCATCTGTTTGTCTGTGCATGTTTGGGTTGGTCAATCAGTCAGATACATTGAGATGAAGATAAGTGATGCCATCCGTCATAAAATATAATAAGATTGTTATCATGGTTTTGTGGTTTATTGTTTTGAAGAAGAAAAATAAACAACAAACCGAAGGAGAATCGAAATGTATTATTATTCTAATTTGATAAAACTGGAAATGAGTCGATATAAATGGCTGAACAAAACCACTCTGACAGTTAACATATTGTCTGAATACTGACCTGAGAGTCTCCAGAGTACAGTGCGGACTCTCCAGTCCATCAGACAGCTTCTTCACTCCTGAACCCCGCAGCTTGTTGTTACTCAGGTCCAGATCTCTCAGACTAGAGGACTGGGAGCTGAGGACTGAGGACAGAGCTTCACAGCTTCTCTCTGACAGGTTGCAGCCACTCAGCCTGGGGAAAGATCAGCAGAGAACACAAAGAGTTTTATTCTCATGTCTCAACCTGTTCCTAGTTAATGTAGTTTGATCTCCACTTACAGAGCTTTCCTGGAGGCTGTGACCACTGGCAGCAGCCTCAGAAGAGCCTCCTCTGAAGCTGAGTATTTCTGCAGGTCAAACTCTTCCAGATCTTCTTCTGATGACAGTAAGATGAATACCAGAGCTGACCACTGAGCAGGAGACAGATTATCTGTGGAGAGACTTCCTGATCTCAGGGACTGTTGGATCTCCTCCACTAGAGAACCATCATTCAGTTCATTCAGACAGTGGAACAGGTTGATGCTTCTCTCCGGAGATGGATTCTTTCTTATCTTTTTCTTTATGTATTTCACTGTTTTCTGGTTGATCTCTGAGCTACTTCCTGTCTGCGTCACCAGGCCTCGTAGGAGTTTCTGATTGGTCTGCAGTGAAAGACCCAGGAGGAAGCGGAGGAACAAGTCCAGGTGTCCGTTTGGACTCTGTAAGGCCTTGTCCACAGCACTCTGGTAGAGATCTGTTAGTTTAGGTTTGGATATAAAGACTTTAGGCAGCCAGGAGTTTGTTGGTTCTTCTTTCAGCAGGTTGACTCCAGAGTTGATGAAGGTCAGATGGACATGAAGAGCAGCCAGAAACTCCTGAACGCTCAGATGGACGAAGCAGAACACTGTGTTCTTGTACGTTCCTCTCTCCTCTCTAAAGACATGTGTGAACACTCCTGAGTACACTGAGGCTGCTCTGATATCGATGCCACACTCTCTCAGGTCGGACTCATAGAAGATCAGGTTGCATTTCTGCAGCTGCTCAAAAGCCAGTTTTCCCAGAGACTCCATCATCTTCATCCTGCTCTCTGGACTCCTGTGTGGATCTGTCTCAGCTCCTCCATCATACTTGACGTTCACTTTGGATTGAATCACCAGGAAGTGGATGTACATCTCAGTCAGGGTCTTGGGCAGCTCTCCTCTCTCAGTTTTCAACATGTCCTCCAGAATTGAAGCAGAGATCCAGCAGAAGATTGGGATGTGGCACATGATGTGGAGGCTTCGTGAGGTCTTGATGTGGGAGATGATGGTGCCGGCCGGCTCCTTATCTCTGAATCTCTTCCTGAAGTACTCCTCCTTCTGTGGGTCAGTGAACCCTCGGACCTCTGTCATCATGTCCACAAACTCAGTGATCTGATAGGCTGCTGCAGGTCGTGTGGTTATCCAGAGGCGAGCAGAAGGAAGCAGCTTCCCCCTGATGAGGTTTGTCAGCAGCCGATCCACTGAGGTGGACTCTGTGACATCAGTCAGGATGTCAGTGTTGAGGAAGTCCAGAGGAAGTCGACACTCATCCAGACCGTCAAAGATGAACACAACCGGGAACTGATCAAACATGCAGATTCCTGCCTCTCTGGTTTCAGTGAAGAAGTGATGAACAAGTTCCACCAAGCTGTACTTGTTCTCTCTCACCACATTCAGCTCTCTGAAGGTGAATGGAAATATGAACTGGATGTCCTGGTTGGCTTTGCCTTCAGCCCAGTCCAGAGTGAACTTCTGTGTTAAGACTGTTTTCCCAATGCCAGCCACACCCTTTGTCATCACTGCTCTGATTGGTTTACCTCTTTCAGGTGAGGCTTTAAAGAGGTCTTCTTGTCTGATGGGTGTTTCTGGTCTGTCTGGTTTCCTGGATGCTTGTTCGATCTGTCTGATCTCATGTTCCTTGTTGACCTCTGTGGTGTCTCCCCTGGTGATGTAGATCTCCGTGTAGATTTTATGTAGGGATTCTGATTTTTCCATAAATTTGATATTTTCATATGTTTTCTTCAGGTTTGATTTGAGTTCACCTTGGCACTTAGTGAGAATATCTGAATGAATAAGAAAGACATTTACACGAAAGACACATCAAAATATTTCCTTCTAATTGGACCCATTTCTGACAAAATAGCAGGTTATTTTCCTTATATCAAGTCACTGGATCGTGTTGCATAATTATCTGTACATTGTCCAGTATAAGTTCCACCCCACAGAGAACCATCAGTTTTCCCACAGAGAACCATGGCCCTAAACCTGACTGACTCTTATTCCTGCTGCTGGGAGATGAGGCATGATACCAGCAGATCCCAACACCCACTGAGGGTGTGGACACAGCTCTCTCTCCAGTTATACAGGAAGTGGATGGCTCTTACTGTGTCGCAGTATACTCCTGCAGTAGCCTACCATCTACAAGACACCCTGGGGGGTCACAGTAATAACCCGTCCCTTCCTCCCCAAGTCATGTTGGACGGCAAATGATACCTCCTTCCACCTGTAGGGGGCTGGGCCGTTAGTAATGACTAGGACAGAATCTGCAGTGAGCAATCCCAGTGAGGCTGAGCAATGTGCTCCTCTGATGTTTAGAGCTTACCCTACAGTCCCCTTTAAAGCATGGACAATGACACTGTCTGCCTCCATGCAACATTGAACAGGAATTTAAATCACAACTGTCCAATCCTATATCAGGACAAACCTCCACAGTGTGTCCCTGTGGCCCCTTCTGACCACCTGAGCAACAACAGCTGTTCTCCAAGCCCTCAGCTCTGCCTCCTGAACTCAGTGTGCATCAGTCCCATTCAACATCCTGAGACTGAGTCAGCAGCTAACCTACACTGTGGAAAACAGCCGTGGTTTATCCATGACTCCCCCTCCTGAGATATCTGACAGTTCAGCAGGACAAACCTCATTCCTAACAGAATTGGCCGTTTTCTGGGAAAACGTAGCACTCAAGGACTCACTGCCATTTCAGAGCCCACTGATGACTTTCTGGTCATTCCTCTGATCCATCCCCTCCCCAACACTGGCTTTTAGCATCACCCACTTGTATTACATATCTCCAATGTCCCACCAGGAGTAACTCGTTGATATAGCATTGGTGGTTCAGTGGTAGAATTCTCCTTCTTAATAAGATTGGCTGGCGCATCATAATGACGTTGGATAGTGTCAGTGCGGTCGGATTCTCAAAGCACAGCAGTCTCTTTCCCTAAGTCCTATCATTAACCCCAAGATGTTTCACAAATGTTAAGGAATTGTGGTTAGGAAGAGACGAAAGGCGATATATTTTGGAAGGTAATTGGATTCCTAAAATGCTGATCTATAAAGGTTCTACTACCCCTCACCTGGAACCAACAGGGTGACCCTGCCAGAAACTAGTGACCCTGACCTCTCTGCTTTCAGGGGTACCTCAGCCCCAACACCATGTGGAGGTGATGGTTCTCTGAGGGGTATATCAGGAGTCTAAAAACATGATGCATGGCTGTGAAAAATTAAAAAAAATTATATTTATATATATAGCTATATTTTGGTAAACTCTTTTTTAAAGACCTACCTTTAGGGTCTGATGAGGATTCTGATGAGGATTCTGATGAGGATTCTGATAATGCCTCTAATAGATCATTCCTCGGGATCTCCTTCAAAACTTCTCTGGTCACTTCAATGTCGTGTTTGCCGTAGTGCGTACGCATCAGATCCACTGTTTCCATCCGGTTTGCTTTCTCTAGTTCACTCGTTGGGATTCCTGGGAATTCTAGAACCTTCTTCTCCAGGTGCCACTTGAATTCTTCAAATTCCTCTTCCTTCAAATCTTTTAAAGTTTTTAATAGGACTTTATGTGTCTCCATCTTTTCTACCTGCAGAGCAAAGATACCAAGAAAGAAAATATTTATCTTACAGAACTATATGTTCTTATTTTGTACTTTTGAAAACCATAACAGGCCTTCGGGATCCAAAGAACAGCTGCCATGTGACTTTGAATGGTGTTACGACCCTGGGTCGTTATGTCATTTGTGTGCAGATATTTCTTCTTCCTCCTGTGTCTGTGTGGCTGCGTGTGAGTAAGCAGGTGGTGCCCGGTAGCTGATTGGCTGCCCTCGACAGGCTGATTGGTCCACCTGAGGAGACGGGAGCATTTAAGCTGCAGCCGTGCAGTTCCTCGGCCCTCTCTTTGACTCGACTTCTCCTACTCCCAACACTGTTGCGTATATATATATCTGTCCTGTTGTGCTGTGGGTGTACTTATACCGTACACCAGTCATTTTGCTTGTTTTGAAACCTCAGAAGTAGAAACTACTTTAACCTGTCCTTGTGGACACGCTTGAATTTGCCCAGGAGTGTGAAACCCTTTTCTTTTGGTTTATTCTCGTTTTCTCCTGTTTTTACGTCAGAGTAGGTAAGAAGCCTGTACGTTTATTTTTCTTATTTGTTAGGCAAGATTTATGTGTTCAAAGATTTGTTTGTTTTGTGGGTTGTTGCGCCTCCTTGTAAAAACTTTGGTAATTAAAATTACCAAACGGCTTTCTCTGTCTCGGTGTCCATGTTCTTGATAATGGGAAGAGTGGGGAGAGTGCACATTTTGTGCTGCGCCTAGGTTCCCTTAGACCTGGGCGTAACAATGGCTTCAATTCAGATGTCGACATTCAGGAAGTCAATCCTAAACTTGAAGACGGTCAGCACAGTGAGTTCTGTCTTTTCCTTTAATGTCTTGGTTTGGTAACCTGACTTTAAAGAGCAGAAACTGTCTCAGTCAGATCATAAAGTGGTCTAGCAGACTGATTGGTGAGACACAGCTAAACCTGGAGCCCCTGCTCATCAGACAGTTACAGAGGCTGTCTAACTCCATGTTCAATGAAGACTCCCACCCCCTGCAACCTGAGCTTCAGCTTCTTCCTTCGGGCCGGAGGTTAATCTCCCTAAAGGTGTAGAACCAAGAGGTTTAAAAACAGCTTTGTGGATGTTCTGGAGCCAGAGGGACTTTTTAAAGATGTGTCTGTTGTCTATATTGTATGAAGCATGTGTCACAATGGATACCTTTTCTTACTTCTGCAAACCAAGTTGACCTACTGGTACAAATAAGTACCATGAGAGAAATAAGAGAGTGACTCAGCCGGCGACCACACACCTGGTTCTGGTCTCTGGCAGTAAGCTGGTTACTGGACACAGAGCTGGGTCCAGGTCCAGGTCCAGGTCCAGGTCCAGGTCCAGGTCCAGGTCCAGGTCCAGCAGAATGAGGTCTTTGCTATGGGCTTGAACACAACACACAGAGCTTTGAGTGAATAATGAGTGCTGAGCTGTGACATGGAGAAGAGTGATGGACAGGTGGAGATGTCATGTTCCCCAGAGCTTTTAGAGGGGGGGGGGGGGCTTCCTCCTCTCTGTCCTCACACTGATCCATAGCAGAGCCCCCACCTTCACACAAACACAACAACATGCTCATTCATTACAACAAGCTTCACATCACAGGTAGCCCCTCCTCTCAGATATTCAGGAACCTTGTTGGAGCCTCAACAGGACCGGATCAGCCCAGAATGTTCCCCACAGCCCCAGAACCACACAGAAACCCAGTGTGTTGACCCCTAAATATGTGTTAGTGTGTCACAGTGTATCACAGATAATGTACAGCCCAGCCCCCCACAAAATATCCCACACAACTGAACTGCGCTCAGTAACCATTCAATAAAACTTCTTTGTTAGGTTTAGAAAAAACATAATTTTTTGGCGTAAAATATGTACGTTAATTACATGAAAGCAGTTACGGACTTTAATTAAAACGAGGTCTTTTGTGAACTGATAAGAAATGTGTTTTTGATATATCATTGAAAATAGGAAAAACAAGTTCCCTGATAACTAAGTTACAATGAGGTTCAAATCTAGGGGAAGAATATTTTTGAAGTTTGATATAATCTCCCATTTACTTTCTCCAATTGATCGCAAAGCCTAATTTGGTTAGGTGTGTGATCAATTGTGCTGTGCAACACATTGCCTGTTCCCGGGACCCAGCCATGACTATGAGGTCGTCTATGTAAAAGAAACTCTCATGCCCTGGGCGCGCAGCGGTTGAAGCGCTGTGGCCACACATTTGCTGAATGTGCGTGGGGATAGGGAGTAGCCGAACGGGAGTCTGTTGTACTCGTAGGCTATCCCTTGAAAGGCAAAACGCAGATATTTCCTGTGCTCTGGCACAATCTCCACATGAAAATATGCGTCTTTCAGGTCGATGGTGGTGAACCAATCGCCCGGCTGCACTAGCCCCATTAACTGTTTTATAGTTAACATGCGAAATTTCCTGCGGCAAATGTGAAGATTCAGGCTGCGCAAATCTAGAATAGGTCTGAATTCCCCTGTCTTCTTGGAAACCAGGAAGTACATGGAATAAAAACCCCTTTCTTTTTGCTGAGGATGCACCACAGACACTGCCTGTTTCTGTACCAAAGCCTGAATCTCTGTTGAGAGGAAACCCATCTCCTCTTGGGATGATAAAATTACCTCTCGCATGCCTCTGAATGGAGGTGGGACGCTGCAAAACTGGAGTGAATAACCCCGTTTCAGCGTCCTGTCCATCCACTCTGACAGTACACAGCTGAGTTTCCATTCCCCATAATATTGAGTTAATGGACAAGCCCTTAGCTGTGGGGCCGCAGCTATAAAGCTGTGATACTCTCTGGTGACCCGTTCCGCCGCAAAATCCCCCGTGAAAGGAAGATTTGCCCATGGAGGGTCGACACAGAAAGGGCCGATTTTTTATTGAGGTCCCTGAACACACCGTCGCGCGCTCTTGTGTGAGCGCGCGCTCCACCCTAACGCTGTTCTCATTACCATGGTAACCAGCATTAACCGGAGTTTTGTTGACGTATTGTGTTCACCTGAGGTCCCTGAACACACCATGGGCTCTTGAGAGAGCGCGAGCTCCGCCATAATGCAGCTCTTACCACTACGGTAAACTGTATTATTAGGAGCCTTTATTCTAGGCGTAGTGTGTTCCCTAACCATAATGCGCCGACTAGCAAGTCCCTGCACCCGCATAGCGCTACTATAGCACTTCCTGCGGTTTATCTCTCTCATCTGCGCATGCCCACTAGCTATCTCCTTTACAGGAGAAATAACCGGGGTAGCGAGTGGGGAATATGTACAGTCAACAATGTGTGTGAGTGCAGGATTGTGAAAACACATGACACTCAGACTTTGATACAGATCACCTTTTTCTTTATTAGTTTTCCTAATACAAGGGACCTGGGCATTGAACAGGGAGGAGGTGGGATTCACCCTAGCGTCCTGGGTGGAGAGACCCGATGAGACGCTTCCTCCCTCCGCCAGTCAGCTGCGTTTTGGCGGAGCTCCCCACCCGGCGGTTCTCTGCTGCTGCTGAGACTGCCGTGGCTGGGCAGCCCGCCCCCGTGAGTGCCGGTACGCTGGCCCCACGGGGCTGGTTGAAGAAGCGGAGGGTGCTACCGGCACGGGACTTTCGTACCGGCGTCTCTCCCTCCGTCTCACCGTTGCACTGCGCTCCGCCGCCCGCGGAGGACGCTGTGACACCTGGGGAGAAGCTAGCGGCAACATGCGGCTAAGCTGCAGCCTCTCTTCCTCCAGACGGCTGAAACGCTGGGTGGCCACTGTGGCTAAGGACATCACTCGCCCAGCTGCGGTGGCCACTCCATGGATCAGATTATTCATCTGACCTATGCAGCGGTCCGAATAATCCTCCCCGTCCTGAGACGGGAGAGCGGGGGCGTCTGCTCGAGGAGTAATCAAGGAGACGCCCAACACACCCAGATTATTCGCCGCAGCCGCCATCTGTGAACCGAGCCTGAATATTTTATCCAAATATTCTAAGGCTTCCCGGTCCCACGGCAGCGGGGGCAGAGGTTTCTTCCCCTCCGCCCAACCAGCTGATCGTGGCAACAGATGGGCCGCCAGGCTCTCGTCGAGGGGGGGCACGCCAGCACACACCGTGTCTGATCGGCCCTGCACCCTGATAATGCCCGACATGGATGCTATGGCGGCCTTCGTCCTCAATGGACGCCGCCATGTCGCCTCCACACACTGCCAGATGTCTGGCAACGGGGGCGAGACGAAAGCCGACTGTGCCGGAAGCACCGGGCCGTAAAACCCCTGCCTAAGGCGGCTTACAGGCCTCGGTGGCAGCGGTGGGGGGAGCGGTAAGCCTACACGCTCTGCTGCCTGGGTCATCACCGCTGGGAAGTCCAGTCGCGCAGACCTGAGTGCTGGGCCCTCCTGGCTGTCGGACCCGGGGGTGTCGGACAAGGAGATGTCGTCATCCTCCGTGAAGTCGACCACGCGGTCCCTCGGAAGGACGAACTCAAACGGCACGTCCTCCAGGTCGTCCATTTCCACCACCTCGAGGTCCACATCCTCTTCCTCTCCGTGCACCTGCGGGCCGAACTTCCTCGAGAAGTACTCCGCACGATGCCGGCGGTTTAGCATCGGGATCGAGCAGCAGGAAACACAGGCCGGTGTCTGGCCTGCTCCCTGCTCAGCGTGATCCTGTCCCAGGCACTGAAAACATTGGCGATGCGGGTCTGCTCCCGCAATCAGTCCAGGGCACGACGGGCAACTGCGATGCTCCAGGAGTGGCTCCATTTTCAACAATATCTCTCTCTACTTCCTTTCTCCCACTTGTACGTCTCGGACTCAGTGCTAGGTTACCACCTCCGCTCGCTGAAGAGTAAAGGATAGCGGTCAGGAGGCGAGGCCTCCTTTTATACGGAAGTGAGATGCGCACGCATTCAGGTAAGCCCGCCCCGGGGCCGGCTACGTCTATAGAAATCTCAGTAGGTGAATGCTTGCATGATAAGGTAGTACCCATAGAGTCCAGTAGAGGGCGGAGCCTGTGAGAGATATAACACTGACAACAGTACATGGAGATCTTTCTAAACCAATTCTGCTTTCACTCAGGGAGAAACCCTACACAATATTTCAGACAGATGTTTAGAATCAGCATCAATAAACATGTGTCCTGTCCAGGTAAACAGTGACTCTGTCCAGGTAAACAGTGACTCAGCACCATGTGATCACAGTGATCCTGATGGTGGAACAGATTCCTATCGGAGGATTCTTACCTGCTGAACTCTCTTCAGGTCTCCCTCATTTCCCTTATTCAGAGTATTAAGAGTTAGACATAAAAACAGTCACGAGTTGTTAGAGTGGGTTCTATGAAGGTAGATATGGTGCAAAATGCGAGAGCGTGTAAAACCTGATGTGAGCACTTGCAGAAAATAAATCTGAGCTTGTGTGCATACATTTACACTTGTATAACATATGGAAGTCGCAGAAGAAAAAAAAAAGTTTTGTAGCTTGTAGAAAAAAAATGAACTTAGTGATGAAATGTTCACTTGCAGAAAAATATATATTTTTTAAATATATTTTCCATTACAACTGCAACTTGGTTATTACAACCTCTCAAATCAGTCATTACAACTTCACGAATCTGCTCTGTGGCAGTATAAATCGACGAATCTGCGGCCTTGACTTTTGATACACTTCTTGCGATGAATGTGTCGCAAAAGTAATTTTC